CTTTTGACGGATTAGCACGTAAAGCACTTTATCGAACGGAATCTACTACCAATTGACAAGGCCGTCGAAAACGACTCCTCGGGGGGGCTTGTTATAGCGACTCTGCCACCGTATATTGCACACAATGGGTCGCCGCATCCACATACTCGGGGCAACAAGCCGAATGTAGAATTGGACTGATTTTGGAATTTCAAGGTTATAAGTCGCGTTGACCCGGTCGACCATCCCGGCTGACCTATCAAGCTAACCGACCACTGTACTACCTTCAAAAGCTGGTTCAAACTTCCCGGTACATGAGATCGGTACTTAGATCAACGCTTCCGGCAACCTTGGTCGCCGGCAATCTATGAGCGAAGTTCAGTATCACATCGTAGATTAGTTTTGTACCTGGTACCCCCCCATTCATATTTAGGGGGTACCCGTTAGAGGCCTGACTGATGGGCTGAAGCCATCCAGGGGGGGTGGTTAGGGGAATAACCATTCTCCTGGGCGGAGGGGGGGGAGGCTTGGGGCTTGGGCGGAAGGCCCAACTAGGCCGGCCAGGAGCTGGATTGGTCACAAAGTAACCCACATAAACATACATATTCGCACCTGTAGAACCAGCAGTACGACCAAAATGTATGCCTGTTATAAGCCGTTCCTGAGCAGAATGCACAGAAAGTGCTCTTAACAGTAGACACCTCATAAATCAGGTCTTGATTTTGTCAAAATCCAAATTTGCAGAAAAATCCAAATATTCGCAGCAAAAATCTGGGCTCCGGGGCCCAAGGAGTTTCTGTAGCCAATAAGCCAGGGGGCGGGGGAGACTTGTGGCTTGGTGGCCCGAAAGGGCCACCAGGGGGTCCTGGTAAGGTGGCTTCGAGAAAAAAAGGGTCGATTTATGAATGGGGGGGTACCAGTTACAAAATGACGATACCCTAACACTGAAAGTATTCAAAGTACCTATTCCGTAGGTCTTTCACGACTGGTGTCAGGTTCGACGCTCTCAATACCAGAGCCTCTGAAAAGGAATCGGGCCCCATCAAAGCATGTGACATTTACCGGTGAACTTCGAGAACATTGGATCCGGCAGGTTTTTGTTAAGGTATGGAAAATCCTGGCTATCAAAATTGATATCTTATAATTGCATGCGGTAGCAGTAGTCCGAAAGGATTGTCGGGGCCCATGTGATCGTTAAGAAAGCCAGATGCATGAGTACGCACGAGCCTGACGGTTCGGCGCATGCTTCCTTCAGATTTTAATATCGGTAGAAGAAGAGTATGTTGTTCTGACAACGTACTGCAGCCGCTCGGTACGTACTAAAAGTTTGCGCATGGATCGACATGCAGGCCGAGATTTGGATATGTAATCATGGAGCGGTCAGCTAGATTGACGGATAGCTAACATGCGCGAAATCATGAATCTGCCCGAAGCCACTTGATATAACCTAGCTGAAAAGGGACATATGCTGTAACTCTTTGAACAACAGCCGGACATGTATCTTGCGCCGATCAACGAGATTTCATAGGTGCCAGAAGGGCGTTGTTACAACGTCATGCATCCCAGCTGCTGCACCCAGCCGCCTATTTCTCATTCTCCATCGAGATCCGCGTTGCATATCTGGTCCATAGGTCAGCCTTATTAAAAAGAATGAAAATAACTGTCAAGCTCCTAAGTTGGCAATAACCACAGGGCAGTCTTTGTCGGGACGCTCAGGCTCGTTTCGAAGTCGGGCGCACTAGTGAGCTCTTGACTTACAGTCCACAACCGTGATGCCAAGTCGGGATCCTTCGCCAATTTCGAAGGCTCTGCTGGCTTGCTATCATCGTAGTAGCCGCCCGAAACGCCTTCAACATAAGGGGACGATGCAAGGTAGACGACGGTCGATGACCCTTCCTCGGGAGTCTGCACGGAAAACCCATGTTATATTTAGAAGCCGGTTTTGATCTGCTCTCACATAAGTAACCTAACCTGCGAATTTCTGCACTTCGGTAAGCGGCTTGTCATACTGATAAAATCCCACTTCTGACAGTCTGCTTGAAAGACAACGCGACGCGCATGCTTTGATGCCAAAGCGTATCAAAGTGCATGTTCCCTCAGCAGCTTCTGAAAAGTTGCAGAACCTAGGAGTCAGCCAATGATCCGTACATCCCTAACGCTTCAGAATTGCACGAGCTCGTTCAGATAGGCTTACTCTCAACCCGATGAACTTCGCAAACGCCGAGCTTTTCGTAGGATCCTTGTCTCGCGCCTCCAGGAGTTGCGCCGGCAAGAGGTAGCGGACTAACTGCAGCAGAGAAAGGAGTTCTGACACTTAGTCAACGGCCGCCAAGTGAGCAAGAGATGTTCTTACTCTATCCAATCCGGTCTTCATCCCATTAGTGTCAGTTTTGCGAAAGAGTCCAGCGCAGCACACCCTATCGCTGGAGCAGCGAGACTGAGACAGTGGAGCCACAAACAATCACGCAGGTGGATCGGAGATAACATTATTGTGCAGCGAAGGGCGTCGCTTCTGCGACCAAGCTTCCAAAAACAATGGGTCGTGAAGTCGCGCTCAAAAGTCAAAAACACAATCTTTCCTTTGAACGAACCGGACCTGCTTTTCTGTGAATAAACTTCCTCAAGCGCCTACCTGAGTATCAACAACGCCCGGATGCAACGCGTTGGCGTCGATCGGCACTTGGCGCTCCGCGCAGCGCCTCGTTAGCTCCTTGGTAAAGAGAATGTTGGCGAGCTTGCTCTGTGCGTACGCCTCCCAGCGTCCGTACTCTGCAGCGCTGAGAACCGTCCGAATCAGACTGCGTCCGTAAGTGTTTGAAAGCTTGAAAGGCGGCCTGATGTTCTTCAAGTACCATCTTTCAACCTGTTGCATGTGTGACTCCCAGCGTCCGTTTTCTATAACCCTGTTTCAGAGCGTGAAATGTGTGAATCCAGCGTCTGCATCCAATCTGCTGAGAACACTACGAATACATCGTGGTGCTGAGAACAGTTTGAACCTGTCCGCATACTGCAGAAGGGCGTCCAAAGCAAACGCTTCAAAACTGCTAGGACTCTTCTCGCTTCCACTCATGCTGGGAACGTTCTCTGACTGGAAACACTACACGATGCAACGACTTGAAGGAGCGCACAAGTCCAAGTCAGACCTGTTGTTGAGGATCGGACCATCATGCACGACGATAAGAAGGATAGCCAGTTGTCTTGCAAACCGCCGCCCCTCACTTCGTTTTCCCTGAAAGTTGAGGTCGTCGAAGTCGATGCTCCCCAGCTGGTGCGCCTGAGAAGACACGTTGACGACCCGGGTACGACGCCTGTGTGAAAGAAACCAACTTGGACACCTTAATTTCGCACCCAAGATGTTGCATGGCCCGTCTGCAATCTACTGAGTGCGGACTTTTCGGTTTTCGACGACTTGCTATACTCCCCGCCTTTGTCGCAACTATCGAATACTCCGTCGAAAAGAACATCTTGGGTGCCAGTTTAAGGAGCCCGAGAAAAATGATCGAGATCGCTCATGGGGGTAACGACACAAACAAAAAAGTTGTCGGATTGCAAAGAAAGACCTAAACTTTGATTGACCCATTGTTCCCAATCGGCTTCATCTACTTCGTTCTCGTTATTGCGAAAAGCATCCTCGAGGCAACGACCGAGTAAGGTTTGCAGGACGCTCGTGCCCTGTGCAGATTAGCGACTGAGAGGACTGAGATCGATCAAAGAACGGGCACTCGCGTCGATAAGCAACACAGGCAGCCCTCCAGAGGATTCTTGTTTGCGTGTTTTCTACGAAGGCTGCTAGATTCGATGACGAAATTGAACCTCGTCATCTCCGTGGTGTCAAGAGAAGAAGGGAAAGAAGCACGCAGACATCGAGGAGCTGCGTTACTACCTGTGTCTCCGCCAATTGCGGCAAACTTTAAGCGCGACCAGATCTCGAAAGCTGTCTCGTTTTAGAAAAACATGCTAAGCAGCCTTCGATAAAAACTAGAACAAGAGTAGCTACATCTACTGGATCGAAGGACTGCGTGGTGACAGAATCGGACTGATCGGCAGAAGCAGCAAAAGAGGATCCTGTAACTGAATGATGGACTCCTACCCAGGGGTCGCACTAGAGGCAAGCGTCCCAAGCAGGAGTGACGTCAGCAGGAAGTGGCCCATGTGGTTGACGCCGAGCTGCATCTCGAAGCCGTCTTCAGTGAACATCTGGGGGCAAGCCATGATGCCAGCGTTGTTTACCTGCCGGGACAGAAAAGAGGGGAGATCGTCCTTTCGAGACACGATGATGGAAAGATGGACCCATATTGGCAGACCGATGCTTTGTGTATTCGTATTTTCAGCCTGTTTATTATGCGACCTGGGCTTTAAGACGCACGTTTGTTCAAAATGTTGACGTCAATTGAGCCGCATATTTTGAGTCAAGGTCAACGGTGAAACTCGAAGCTCCTCACACGAGGGTATTGACTGGGCCAACCACTCAAAAGCCATGCATTGCTCTGGAGTTCGAAGCAGTCAGTTCTCAAATCGTGCAACGAGTCCTGAATTCTGATGAAAAGCGAGTGACTTTCAAAACAGGCCAAGATAAGGCATGCGTCTTGTACTCTAGCGAGTTTTGCAACGTGCAAACAGAGGCTCTTGAATTTCGCGCCCAGAAAGTGGCTGTAAGCGCAGGTTGCAAGGAAAGACTAGCAAAGCTGTGATGGAATTTGACAAACTAACGGCCACTTAGTATGAGCACAACTTCTGCGAACAGAAAGTAGCCCTTACGAGAACGTCAAGAGGCCGACCCGTCTTCTGGTAGTTCTCAGCAAACTCGCGGACAGACCGCAGTGAGGCAAGGTCGCACAGCATGCTGCGAACGGAGTCGTTGCCTGTCTTCTCAGAAATGTCAGCAGCAGCCGCATTGCCGCGCGCCTGGTTTCTGCACGCTGAAGCAGAGTTGCTTGTGGAGCTTTGAATGTCGAATCTTGACACTTACGTAGACGTTCTGGACTTTCAGAAGTTGTGCAGAGAAGCGGTTGTGTGAAGGCAACACGAAAAACTCGGTTTCTGAGACCGATACATACGAAGCAAAGGTCAGGACTTTTGATCGCCTAAGGTAAGAAATAGCAGTGTTGGCTACAGCGATAAAAGACAGGAGTGTCAGCTACAGAGAAGTTGTTAAAGATGAATCTGCTAGAAACAGACGACAAGTGTGGCAGCATATTACCAGATTTGGGCACACTAGCAGCAAGCAGAGCGGTAACCAAAGCGTATCCTTTTTCCTCGTCAACAGTGAGTACGAAGTTGTGAGATACCTTCATCGAAAGGATATTTGCCAAACCGGAAGCTGACGAAGTTGACCACTTACCAAGAGTGATGTGCATGCCCATGCCTGCCAAGGCAACTGCAGTGGCTTTGCCGATGCCTGGAATGTGACAAAAGAAAATAAATTTTAAGGCTGCTGCAATCAACAGTGGCATCAACAAGGTGTCTATTTACGGGGGAGATGGCTTGGAGTCATACTCAAGAGAGGGGACAACATAACTGCAGGCTCAGACTTCAGTGGAAAAACAAGAAGCCAAGGAAGAAGCGAGACTAAGTAAAGTTGAGTGGCCATTCTCAGTCTAACACCAAGAGGGTACCAATGTGCTGAATCATCAGCCTTCTCTTTACAGTCAGAGGAAAGAAGAAAAAGCCAGTATCGGTATGAGGGGGACTTATGTGTGTTCTGACCCATACTAATGACATGCCAACAGCTGTCACAAATGAAACGCACCACTGTTGCCCCCAGTGATGACCACGTGCCGCTCGTGACTTCTTACATACGGTCCTGCACTGCTCTCTTCTCCAACGGAGCCCCCCGCTCGCTGGTCCAGCGCTTGATCAGGATCATCACCACTCAGCGGGGATGCATTCAAAGGCGACACTGGACCCAAGCACGCGGCTAGGACAGCAGCATTGAATGCGACGCACGCTGATCTACGTGTCATGAAGGAAAGTGATGTCTCTTCATTAGGCTCACTATCACTTGCCTGGCTTGCCCGCACCACAGAGATGGATCTATAATGCCATCGCTTGGGGACTTTCTGGACGAGCCTAGGCTGGCTGCCATGCGGAGCGATTCTAAGTGATTGTTGCAACTGAATACGACAACACAGTTGGCTCTTCAGTCTTGGGTGGTGTGCAAGAGAACCTCTGTGGCAGGCAATCATGGTGACGCTGGCGCAGTAGCCCCGCGCTAAGCCCTCAATTCAAGGATTCTGATCAAAAGGAACCATGGCATTTTCTTGACAGATCCTTCTCCTCCCCTTGACAGGAAGCCAGTGCTATGCCCTTTGTAATGTACCACAATCGGCAATAGTAAGTATGGCTATCGACATCAATCACTGCACCAAGCGCGGCTCCCAAGTGGTGGTTGTGTCGATGAAAGGCAGCTTGAAAACCAGCAGATGATCGTGATCACCACGCACCGAAGTCGATAGGCAAGCATTGGCCTGCGTGCCAGCGAGCCCTTGCATGGTGGCCAAGGAAAGTCCTTTGAAGGCTGAAGCAGCAAGCTACAAATTCAATCCACAGACTTCAATTTCAAACTTCAAAAAGAGAGAGCTGGCACTGGCAGTGGTGGGAGACGTCGAGAGCTGGCTCCCTTCTTCCTCCTTTCGCCAATCCAGTGTCAACCGCTCGGGCCGGTTCTGAATCTCAGCAAATTCGACCACTTTGCAGTGGGTTGAGTGTTTGGTCGGGATATGAGCCTCATTTGACACCGCGGGTTGCTCCTGAATGGATTTCCTGACATTTCCTGACCTCGACAAAACAAGGTAGGTCGTAATTTTAATTGCAATGAAAGAAAGATTGATTTTTCTTAAAAATTTACGGACTTGGGCAACGCATGCAGAGACTCAGAGTCATGCAGAGATTCGTCGAGGGAGCCATTTCAAAGTAAGCAGCTAGGCGGCTCTGCGCTGTGCAGCTTTTCTGCGTCGCTGTAGACAGCGACTTTGAGATATGTAGGGGTAAGAGTCGAAGCCTCCAGCAGAAAGGCAAGTGGTTGGCGGGGGGTCTGTTCTTTCGGAGACTGAAAAGGTCTTGAATGAGTTTGTGGTGAAAACAGCTCAGACAGGTGGCATCCTTGCGCAAGCTGGCATGTCTGAGAAAGGACAGGGGGAAAGAGCGGACAGGAAAGGAGTCTCGGAGCAAGCGTCGCATGACAGCGCTGAAAAAATCAGGGTCGAAGGGAGAAAGGACCCTCGCAGGGCTGAACAAACCCAAATGCCTGGGTCAGCAAGCAAGCTGGAAAAGGATGGTAAAAGGGAGAGAGAGGATCCAAATGTTAGCGGACAGTATAGAAGAGGCGAGCGTGAGAATGGGGAGGATACCAGGCGGACTATGGAGCGGAGGCGGGGACAGGATGAGAGTTTGCCTCCACAGAAAAGAAGTGCCGAAGAGGAGAGCCGGGAGGAGGTTAAGAAGAGAAAGTACTCTCCAATCGTTTGGGACAAATCGCAGGGTGGAAAAGATAGTGCTTTGGGAAGCGGACCGAGGGCGGCAGATGAGAGACCAGCTGTTAAATCTAGGTTAGGAGGACCCCCTCCAGCGCCTGCAAGACCGCCAACCGCAATGCTAGACGATAGAAGAAAGGCTGGCGATAGACGGGTTGCTGAAGGCATTGCTGGAAGTGAGAGGGCAGATTCTTCAAGGGACAGGAGCGAGTCACGGGAGAGGCGGAGAGTATCACCTGGCAAAGACCGGGCTACTGAGGATCGAAGAAAGGCGGAAGGCCGGAACAGTAGGGACGATCGTGGGGATCGTCCAAGGGATGGCGAGAGGAGAGAAGAGGGGCCTCGTCATCACAGGCACAGGGAAGATGAGAGCAGGGGCCGGCCCAAGCACCGTGCGCATGAGAGGATTGAGGGGCAACGGGACGTGCAAAGGGATGCTTCCCGTGAGAAAGAAAGGCAGTCACTTAAGGATCAAGAGAAGGATATGCAGCCGGCGAAGATGGATGATCAGAAGCCTTTGGAGCAACCTGCAATTGGAGCAGTTGCAAATGAGCAAGTTGACTTGCCCCGTGACCCTCGGTCGCCCTCGGTGTCCTCCTCATCTTCTTCAGCGCTGTCCGACGGGTCCCCCCCAAAAGCAGCCGCTCGTGGGGAGTCTCCGGAACCCGGGCAGTTGCCTGATTCTCCGCAGGCCCAGGAGGACAAAGGCCAAGGTCTCTTGAGATCCCGGTGGTTAGAGCCGGAGGAGTTGAGTCCAGAAGAAGAAGGGAGGGCTAAAGAACTTCTGGGAAGTGGCAAAAAGCGGCGGCTGGATTCGGAGGATAGAGAAGATATGGGGTTCAAGCGGAGGCCTGCTAGCGTGGCCGGCAGCCGTAACAATCTGCGCATTGGCGAAGAAGGCGAGATCGAAGGGGAACCGTCCCCGGCCGTCAAAGGTGGGGATGTGACTCTGAGTACTGAGAGAGGCGAGAAGAGTGGCAGCAGGGGGGATTCATATGAGCGGGAGTTGAACAGGCGAGAGTTGGAAGAGATAGATAATGAGAGCGAGGGGGAGGAGGAGCTCGGTCGGCCGGGGAGTGTGAGCAGCGATGACGAGGATCCCGGGAACCCCGTGCTGCAAGAGCAGCCCAAGGTGAACATGCTGGAGGGGTGCAGGAGCGTGGACGAGTTTGAGCGGCTGAACAAGATTGATGAAGGTGAGGTGAACTATTCCCTGTATGTACCGTAACCTTCCGAGGTGGCATTTTTGGAGGTGTGCTTGCTGAGGAGTCAGAGCAAAGAATAAGTTGTCGGAAGGGGTGTTGCTGCGTAACTGAAAAACGCACTTGGTGGTGGTACTTATCTGCGGAGTCTGGTTCTAACTTAGTCTGCCAGTCTGGTTATATGATCTGCGATGCTTTTAGTCTGCCAGTCTGGTAATATGATTTGCAATGCTTTTGGAACAATTTCAATGGAATTTCAGCATACTCAAGTTTGGAGCTTGGTTTGTGTGCCTTCATGGTCTGTTCTGGGTTATTGATTCCGCTCGCAAAGAGCAAATGGTCTTGCCAGGAGTCATGAGACAACGAAATCCTGGCAGATCTGTCGACCAGAAGCTTAGCTCATTTGTTGAACTGTCTGGTAAGTTAGCAGGCTTCTGATTCTTGAACCTTCTTTTCCCTCTCGCTTGCAAGGCACCTACGGGGTGGTGTATAAAGCAAAGGACAAGAGGACGGGCGAGATCGTGGCCTTGAAAAAGGTCAAGATGGAGAAAGAAAGGGAGGGCTTCCCAATGACGTCGCTTCGAGAAATCAACATCCTCCTCTCCTTCGATCGCCACCCCTCAATTGTGGACGTCAAGGAGGTGGTTGTGGGGAACAATCTGGACAGGTAATGTAGCTCACACCTGCTTCTTTCATTCTCAATCTTGCCTGCCTCGATCTTACTTTGAGCCCTGAGTTTCTGTTTGCATTGCTGGTTCCTTCCTAGTTCTTTCAAGCGAGACTCTTCGCAATCTCAAGTGCCTGGCTGCTGTGCACACCAAAGGTTTCAAAAGGTAGGCGGCACTGGCGGTTCGTTGCTGCTCGCAACCACCTCCGGTTCCATCTCTTGAAGATGATCAGGGGCAAAGAGTTGCCACTTTTCATAATTCTCACCCCTGCAATCATGACTGATTTGCAAAGAGGGAATCGTATTGACCTGCTGTCAGACTCCTTCGTATTGGTATCAGCATGCTGCATTTTGATTCTGACTTCGCAATACCATCAAACCGGTTCTCATGGAAAGCAACCAGAACGCAAACTGGTTTCCTGTTTTCTCAGCCTCTTTCACTGGAGCCCGTGCTAAACTTGGATCGTGTCCCTCCACCTGCAGCCGTCACTGGCAGCTTTCGCTGTGGGGCATAGCGCCTGCCTAGTGGTCTTGGCACGCAAAGCCGCATCAGGTGGACCTACGAGGATACTCCCCATCCTTCCTCCCTATCCTGGCCACTCGCTCTGGCATCTGCCTATTATGTAGACTTGTTGGTTTGTAAGCAGTCAACTTTTCTGTTGGCATGCTGGAATAGATGCTGCAAGCAGTCAACAACTTGTTGGCATGCCTTGAAGATATGGTGTTGCCAGTCTCTGAAGTTTCGTTGCTAAGCATGTAGCATGGTTGTGCATCTCGTGCTGAATGCTTTTCCTCCCTCCAGGAGCCGACTGCAAAGAGGTCTCCGTATGGTGACACGCAGCGAAAAGCGCAAGCACGCAACCGCATGCAGCACCCGACCTTAGCCGTTGCTCCGTTTTATGCTCATCTTGTGTCGTATTCTGCCTGTCTCAGCCTGCAAAGGATAGTGAGGAGATTGCTCATTTCTGGTGCTTCTATCTGCTATCCGCAGAAGATTCATTGGATTACTCTTATGAATCTGAAGCAATGTGGTCAAGGGAATATAGATTCTCGTGTACTTGGCAGGATGGGGAGCAGCTGCCTTGCAGGGCCTCTTGGGGTTCAGGCAAGCCTTGTGAAGCTCTTGAGCACGAAAGGTTGTCAAAGCTAGCTCGAGCGCGGACATGCCTAGCTATCCCCTGCTTTGATTTTGTACCCGTGATGTGTTTGGATTCAGTTTCTTGATGTTGCTGCCACTTTCACCACGTCCTTTCAAGCTGTAGATATTGCTCAGTTGCAGGAAACGAACCGAACGTGGGTTCCTGTTGGCAATCTGCTTCGAAGCAAGCGAGTCTACGTTCCCGGACTCTTGCTCGTTTCGATTGGTTGTAGCTGAGCCCGATGGTAGTCGAAGCTTTGCCAGGCTGCTATATGAGGGGTGCCTTTAGGTTGTTGCGACTGCATAGCAATGTCTCTGGTCCAGGACCCTTCCAAGGGCGAGCCAGCAGAACATCATACTGGAATGTTGTTTCTACATCTCAACTGCATTGAGTTTCAGCCCTCTGTTTTCCATGCAGAAGAATTGCGCCGTCTTTGCTGCCTTCTCGTAATCGTTTGGATATCTTCTGCATACTTGAAGCTGGCCAAAATGTGTGTGCTTCCCTGTATGTTCGATCATAATCTCTGAGTCTTTGGGGCGAGTGACCGCAATTGTTGTGCACAACTGCACATGCGACCTCGTTTCGCTTGCGCTTGATGAAGCAAAGCTTCGTCCTCAGACGAATCAAACGAGTCTGGTTTTGTCTTGTTTGCAGATTGGTCAGACTTTGTTTCGAGCAGAGTGCTTTTTCAGGATGTATTCTTGTGTCGCCTAGCCTGCTACCCACCCGTCGGCTGTGTACGCCTTGTCGATTTGTGTTCTTTTGTGGATGTGTGTCCTGTTGCTCGAAGAAAAGCGACACTCTCGCAGTACTCGGCCCCCGAGGCAGTTGAATACAATACACAACCTCGGCGTGCTTGGTAGCTTCAAAAGTCTACGACCTTCTCGCAAGGTCACAAAATCTTTCGTTTCCAGATTCGATATTGTTTACCGTTCGAATGATTCTTAGAATCGGTGACACGCATCCACAAGTTTTGAAGATTCGAAGAAATTATAATCACCCCTGTCCCGCCCTTTCGCTGTGCTTTTGATTTCCCTGTGCCCGCTGACCATGACTGCTGTTTCCTGTTGTTCTCGATGAGTTGTGCTTGAAGTCTTCATGGCAGTGAAGATTTTGAGCAATACTCGTAGTTCGTTCATTCGTTCGGCTAATCATATTCGCCAATCATCGTGCAAGGTTTTCTTTGATGAGGAAGTCTGAGATTGTCCCGCTAACCATCTCCGATTCCGCTCCTTACAGCATGGAGAAGTGCGACCTTCCTTATCTCGGTTGGCTGAACCATCGCCAATTCCCAGACTTCCGAAACCCATCAACTTCGCCGGCTAACCAGCTCTGCTCTGTCTTTCCCGCAGCTTGTTCATGGTGACTAAGTCCGTCTTAAGGCATGACCAGAATTTCCTAACCACGCCCTTCACTATCTCCAAACCAGCGTCCTGCTCAACCACCTTCGCTAACCATGTCCGCTCCCTCTTTCCCCGGCAGCATGTTCATGGTGATGGAGAACATGGAGCACAACCTCCCAGTCCCTTAACCCGCCATACCAACCCCCAACAGGCCAGACCCAAACTACTGAAACTTGTTAACCACGTTCACTAACCAGGTCCGCTCCATCTTCTCCCGCAGCATCTTCATGGTGATGGAGTACATGGAGCACACCCTCCAGAACCTTAACCCGCTAAACCAACCCCCAACAGGCCAGACCCAGACTACTGAAAGTCGTTAACCACGTTCACTAACCATGTCCGCTCCATCTCTTCCCGCAGCATCTTCATGGTGATGGAGTACATGGAGCACGACCTCAAGTCGCTTTCCGAGAGTCAGAAGCAGCCGTTCACCGCGAGCGAGGTCAAGTGCCTCATGCTGCAGCTGTTCGAGGGAACCAAGTACCTGCACGAGAACTGGGTCCTGCACCGTGATCTAAAGACCTCGAACCTGCTGCTGAACAACAAGGGCGATCTCAAGATCTGCGACTTTGGCCTCGCGCGCCAGTACGGCAGCCCGCTCAAGGCGTACACGCACATGGTCGTCACGCTCTGGTACAGGTAAGCAGCTGATAGCGGTTCTAGGTCTGTGTTTTGCGGCACAGGTTAGGTAACCCAATGGCTTACCTTGTCCGATTTTGCAGCACGGTGTTTGTCGGTATAGGTCCTTTCGATTGTTTGCGGAAGTGCTCGGGAGGTAAGCTTTGCATAATAATGTCGAGTTGCACAGCTTTTTGTGGAAAGTTTCAGGCTTTCGATGAGCGAATGATCATGACAGTTGCAAAGCTTTTTGCGAACTTTCGGGCTCTCAAGAAGTGGATTCATGTGAGGGCCTATCAGCACCACCTGCGCGTGTCAGGTCTCAAGCACATCACAACGTATTCTCAAAGGAGCGGACCGCTTGTTTGAAAGCATATTTGCCGTCCCCTTGAGGCCTTGCATTTCCATCTTCCACTCAGCAAGTCCCTCAAATCTCGGTGCCCTTCCGTGTTACAGGGCCCCCGAGCTGCTGCTGGGCTCCAAGCTGTACTCGACGGCCATCGACATGTGGTCGCTGGGCTGCATCATGGCGGAGTTGCTGTCCAAGGAGCCCCTCTTCCCCGGCAAGTCCGAGATCGACCAGATCGATAGGGTGAGTTGTCCTGTTTTCCTCATGTTGTTGGCTGGCTCGTTTCAGGGCTTTCTAAGGCATTCTTGAAACGGTTCTTCTTGCATGAATCTCTATAGTGTGGCGGGCCGGAAGTGAGTCGAGAAAATCGCTTCGGATTTGTCAAACGGTTACGGTTGGGGGTGTGGTTTTTTACTAGCCTATTGCGACCACAGGTTTGTCAAACTTCTGGCAAGTCGTGTTCCCTTTGCTTGAAGGTTCGGCTGAGATTAGGATCAGTGTCGACTTCTTTGCTGAGGTCCTCTTGTCGTCCCTTTTGGAACAAAACGTTGGACGAGGATGCTGTAATTATTGGCGTCGAGAGTCAGATTGGAGATGCATGTGCAGTGCTCTGAGCGGATGTGTTGGCCCGAAATGAATCTAAGTACATACCTAACAGAGATTTCAGGCGGAGCAAACTCGTGCGTGTGTTTTCGTGGTCAACAGTTGAGAGGTTGGAGACCTGCGCAGTTGTCGCTCGAGACGGAAACCAACGGTCCCGAGCGTCCTTCCAACTTATGAGAAGCTGTGGCTAACCAGACCCGTCCCTCACGTCCGCAGATCTTCAAGCTCCTGGGCACACCGAGCGCCCAGATATGGCCCGACTTCGAAAACCTGCCGAACGTCAAGAACGTGCGCTTCGTGAAGCAGCCGTGAGTCTCGAGCCCTCCGCTTCACCGCAGTAGCGAACGCTTCCAATGGGTTGCACATTCCTCTTGGTTTCGCCTTGCAAGAACTACAAACGGTGGGCAAACGCACCTTTGTCAAATCTGTCCAATCAAGCTCGAGGACTGTTCCCGAGCAGTTGCCGAGGAGTCTTGTGCATTGACCCTATGCGCGGTTGCCAGCTTGTCAGAAACAGCAGATTCTGCTCCAGCTTGTCCGGAAGAACAGACTCAGCTCCCCTGCGTACAGGTACAACAAGCTGCGCGAGAAGTTCCCCCCCTCGTCCTTCACCAACAAGCCGACGCTCTCGGAGGCCGGCTTCGACCTGCTCAACAAGCTGCTGACGTACGACCCCGCCAAGGTGAGCCGACGAACGCTCCTGGACGCTTTTGTGTTCGGCTTCTGGCTGCTTAGATTGACGTCCAGGTATGTTCGTCGTGGCCAGAATGCGGACGACTTTAGTTTGGCCGTTGCTCCGTGCTTAAAAAGGGCGTCAGATTTCAAGGTACACTCGTGCATCTGAGTCCTGAGGGAACATTTCATGGCACGGCGCACATTCCATCTTGAAAACTGCCAGCGGCAACCGAGGTTGCGCTGTCTGGTCCGACGCCCTCTTTAAGCATACCGTAAGACGACCCTTCGTTTTCCGTCTTGATCGTTGGGGTCTTTCTTGAGTTCCGTGTTCGCCTGGAAAGACGTCTGGCTCATTGTGCATATTCTGTCTTGCTGTCTCCTCGACCTCAGTTTGTGTTAGAGGCATGCAGAATGCCACACTGCCGTTGTCCAGGTGTATGGATTCCTTGTCTCTGCTACATTATAAGCTGGACTTATCTTGTGTTGTAACCCGTTCCGCTCCCGTGTCTGCAGCGGATCACGGCGGAACAGGCGCTGAAGCACGAGTGGTTCAAGGAGGTGCCGCTGCCAAAGGACAAGGAGCTGATGCCCACCTTCCCCGCGAGGACGGACCACGACAGGTGCGCATCGCACCACTTCTGGTGCTGCAAATGCTGGATGGCCGGGTATCACCATTAAACAAGCAGCGGTGTATTTCCGGGACCTGCATGATTTGTTTAAGATTACTCTGGTCTTCGATATGGGTCTTACAATGCCGAATTGACAGGACTCTTTGAAGGTATTGCTGATCATCAACATCTAAAACGGAGTCTCCTCTGATGAGATCGGGTCGTGATATGTGCGTTGATAACGGGGATTCCGCTTTGTGACTTTGTGATTGGACGGATTGGGGTGTTCGCAAATGTAGGTGCCTTCCAGAAAGACGGCTCGTCACCAGCAGAAGGACGGACTGGAAAAGACCAACTGTTTGACGAAACCTCTGAACAGGATGGATCTGAAAGCAACTATCGTTACTATATCTGCAGGAGGCGCCGCATGCTCCGAAGCCCCGACCCCCTTGAGGAGCAGCGGCAGCGGGAGAAGCGGCAGCCTGCAGGCGGCAGCGGCCTATTTGGGGCCGCTCTATAGAGAGTGGAAAGGTTGGAGCGGCTTAAAAAACGAATCTCATGATCAGTTGTCTTGGTCGCTATCCTGCAAGTCCAAAGCTGCCAGGTCGACTTTTCTCGTGGACAAAACCTATGCTCGCATTGAAGTTTTGGCACTTCGGCAAACCAGGGGCCTGTCGAGCGTATTTTTCACACACAGTGTCGCGTCTTTGCGCTGCATGTCCTTGAATCCAAGCAATCAGAGTAAACGTTGCATATATATGCATCTGGTCATGGGCTGCGGCGATTGATTCTGCAGCAATCATAAATTAAGTTTGCCCGAGCTGTCAGTGTTCAGCGTGTTCCAGTCCTCATATATATTACAGACGCGAGAATCTGTATTTGTGCACACTTCGTCGTGCAAAAACAAATCAACATACTTATTTTTTTGTTGACGACTCAGTGTAGGTCGACTTATAGTCAGGCTATAGCTTTCTCGACCAATCGAAAGATTGATGGTTTCGAAGCATGTCGCGATGGTTATTCATGGTTTACCAGCGACCATTCTCGTGGCCATCGATTCGATTACCGTGATCGACGGTCAGTACTATGACGAACATGCGCATGTATATGACAAGTATCATGACCACACGTACATATAGCAACTTTTCGACGGTTTGCACAGCTCTATAAATCTATTTGCAGACCTGCATGCGCCATTTGCCTGCAGATCTGACACTAGCCAGGCTCATGGTCGAGCCGGCAAAATGGGAACCCCAAATATGTCATGCGCCTCACGTACATATGTGCAGCTAGATGGCCAGATCGAGACCAACGGCCTGGGCCCTGCATGGCTTCGCTTGAAGTCGACACCGTCAAAGAGGGGGGGAGCCTTGTCTAGCTCTCCTGTTTTTAGCTAGTTCGAGTAGAATGTACAAACTTACATCAAAATATGGCGGTAAACTCATGACCTGCTTATCTTGTTGAAACGCGGTATGTAAGGGTCACTGTACCGTACTTCTTAGCTCGCAACTTCAACCACGTGTGATGAACAAAGAAGAGACGGTCCTGTACGTCTGAAGTGCGCAGTCTATAGTTTGCCTGATGGACCTCTGTCAATGGTCGGTTTCGTTGGGCCTTGAATTGCGCCTGACTCTGTGGCTTTGATCTCCCTGCAAACATGTCGCAGGCTAAGTAAGTACTTAATTTCAACTGCAAAACGACGACACTCCCGGAATACAAGATGCTACTTTGCATCAAGAGAAGCCGGGCACCACTCCGTGACCAAGCAAAGCCTAATCTACCAGGAAACTAGCAGGAAACCAATCAGACAGAGTACTTTGATGGGAGATGGTGTACAGACAGGACAATCACAGTCGTCTTGATTCTTAACCAGTCCCTAACGTTTAACATTGATAACCATGGCAGTGACGTTATCTCACCTCTGTTCTTGGCAAAGGGCACATTGATCTGCACAAAGAAGGGAACTATATCATGAGACGGTCTTCATTGTGGTATATTCTCGAATGGAACTTAGAAGGTTGGCGGGAGCGCACAATCTTGCAGGAGCAGATGGTTTCCAAGATGGTTTCCAAGATCCCTACCTGCCTTACCCCAATGGATTGCATTCCAACACTGTCAGCAGCTTGAGGAGCACGGCACCACACACAACCTCAATCCCCTCAAATGCCAATCAATCAACTTGCTAGAAACATTTATGGTCGGTCCAAGAAGATATGCAGTCCGTTGACTTTAGTTGCGCTCTGAAGGCCACCATACTCTTTTCACTACCATCATATCAAACTTTCACACATGATTGACTGACAAAGATTCAAGTTCGGTTCACTGTCTCTCTCCCAAACATAAGTAGAAATTTTTAGCCCGTCTAGGCCTCTTCTGGAGCGTCTAGTATCACATTTCCTCTGGATCCATTGCCTCAAAAAGCCTACAAAATGATTCAGGCCGTTCAGATGGTTGTTGCACGTGCGTGAGGAACCCCAATTTCGACAAAAAAAAGTCTACACCAGAAAATTCAGACACTTTGTTTGGGACACAGCGCGTGAAACAGATCACTGCGACTTACGGCACAAGAAGGCAGTGAGGCAATCGCCGAATGGGGCCGCCTTCAGCTCATTCTGTTCCCGCAACTGCCGCCGCCACTTGTACGTGTAGCACCAGCCAAACACAGGCCCCAACAGCAGGCACTCAATGATGAACGGCTTCCAGAAACCTGCACAAGATTGTTCGAGCATATGTTATGAGGACAGCCTTACAGTAGGTATTACAAACATTTGCACGGTCAAATCTCCCTACATTTCTAGGCCAGCCTTACTTGGGTGAGAACAGATGGTCATCCAGAAACCTGCACAGGTAATCCTGCGTCAGGCTCACGTGGATGACAACGGACTAGTAGTAACTGTTTGCGTTCTTTTCTGGTGAGACATCCAGCAAAGTCCACCAAGGAACTCCAGAATTCTGGGAGCACTGACTGCATTCTGTCCACTCAAAACCTATGTATATGAGGTGACTGATAATTGTTAAGATTGCTGCAGTACCTGGTCCACAGCAAGCGCTTTCTGGTTCTCATAAAGTATCCCTGATCTCATTTTGATTGCCAGACCCCATGGTCTTGATGATTGAAACGTACGCAGAACAGGTAATCCTTGATTGTCACAAGATCAAAAACACAATAGCACCTTCACACTGCAGATTCAGCCAGAAACAGCCTCAACAGATTATGAACCCCACATGCATGCAGACCTCCCTCGTTCCCAGTGTCAAGAGGTGAGTTCAGTGTTAGAGACCCTGACTGAAGTTCACAACCACCTTCCTGGAAGCAACAATGGCAGGAGTCTCGAAAGCAGCCCTTCACTGGCGGTTCAGCAGCTCCTTGTCACCCCCTCACCTTGCGCCCCATCAGAGACCCTGTTCACATTCTGCCCTGCCAGCGAGCACGGCAGGCAGCATCCATAAGCCGTCGTCACAGGGTCCTTCCACACCTCCCACCACTTGGTATGCCAATCCTTGAGCTCCTTCTCCACGTATGCTACATGGTCGCTCTTTTTCGGCATAGGCCGCCGGCCCTCTTCATCTGCGGCGGGGGCTTCGGCCACGTTCTTATCGGCCCTGCTCATTGTCTGCTGTAGTGGCGGCTCATCGTCATCGATTGGGAGGGGGTGCGAGGGCGCGCCGGTTGTCTCCTCCTTTTCAGCAGCTAGCTTGTCGAGCGTGCTGCTCGGGCCCCTCTGCTCGGGGGTGAGGTCGCTTTCCGGATCTGCCTGCATGGCTGGTATATTCTAACTGAAGGTACGGTGATTGGTGTTCGTAAGTGTTGACGCCAAAGCAACTAGCAAACGGACCCAATGCAGCATTTCAGAGGCCCCTTTATGGTTTGGAGGATGCCAGAATTTGCAAGCGTGCCTGCAAAGCAAGAAACCGGACAGCTCCTCTGCTGATGGTTGTTGCTTCAACCTTCGATGGCTCCCTAGAGTGACGCCATGATAGATGAGTCACCTAGCTGGCTTGTGCACTCCAGCCTGCAATTCTTGTCTTCGGTCCTCTCTTGTTCAAAATGCGGTAAATGGTGAAGCAGCATTCTGCCTGTGATTGTGGTGAGGCGGTCCCCCCAGCCACGTGTCGTCTTCTCAATCGGCCTCCTGGCAGACTCCGTGGTGCCAAGTGGCGGCCTCAAGCGCAGTTGCTTCATAAGCACTCAGGATACGATGATGCGAAAACATTTCTCGCGTCGGCGTACTGGCCCTTTGAGTGGTCAAACGTTCGACGCTTTTGTCTATACGAGGAGCGTCGGCTTCATAAGCTGTCACAAAAAATTGGGCTCGTATGCGACCAATCAAGCTGACCGGGCCCGTCAACCTTGCGGAGAAGAAGCAGGGCCAAAATCTCACTCATCCAGCGAGGACTTCGGGCATGCACATGATGATGATTTGCTTCCCGACGATCTGAGCTGAAGCAGGAGACCTCAGCCAGGAATGGATGTCCCAGAGTCCCAGCCGGGAGAGAGCACCCTGCTGAAAGACGAGAGTTCGCCGACAGCGTCTCTGCATGTGAGTTCCCCTGCAACGGCCAAAAAGTGCGAAGAAGTGGTCCCCTGCTCCCTGCATTCTATGGAGTGGTCTTCAAGAGGTCTTCTATGTTGATGTAAGGTTTTCCTCATGAATGATGGTATCATTGGCATCGTAACCAGTCCCTTGTAGCCAGTAAGCCCGGCTTGAAAGCTCACCTGCTCTACAAAGTTCTGAGGCATGACGTGACTTGTTTCCTTTCTTGTGTTGTAGACTAGAGAGCATAGGTTCACACCGGAGCAGCGCACCAGTCTCAAGGGTTTCCAGGTTTGTGCTCCATGCTCATTCTGTTTCCTAGTTTCACACGAAGTTTGTCGCTCCCATTCAGCTCTTTGCGAAGCACACCATTCTAACAAGGGTATCAAGGCACTCCGGTTTGATTTCAGCACCTCTGAATCAAGACATCACTCTCCTAAATTTAAGAAGTTGAGAGATGGTTTTTATTCAATATTAGTTTCACAATGTACTGTCAGCAATGGAGCTAAGCAGGGGTTCGTATGTTGCTTGCCAGAATACCAATGCCAAGCTCCATTCTCCCCTGAATATTGAAGCAGTACCACTTCAATGGCATGCATGCAAAGAGCTTGAGAACATCTTCAGCTTCTTCTGTCTCGCTGATTGCAGGTCATTGCGCCAGGAAAGCGTGCAGGGGATCAGTTGGACGACTACATTCGCAGCCGCAGTCCTTCGGCTACCCCCCCCCGCAGTCCCACCGCTCAGAACTCAGAAGCTCTACGCTTTCACGAAGCCGACTCTGAGATCCCGTCCCAAGTGTATTCTGCGGGAGTCCCCCATGCTGCGCTAGACCAGCGTCTTGGCAGCGGTTACTACAGCAGTCTCCAGCAGGACCCTGATGAGATGGCAACTAGAGAGGGCGGAAATACGCGCCGGGCCAGTGACCAGTCAGCGCCGAGCATCTTAGGCCAGAAAAGCGTGGACTCTTTGTTGACAACGGACTCAAATGCATCACACATGTCGGGAGCGTCGGTCAAGCCTGGGAGTATGACAGAGCCAGGAAGCATGTCACTTGAACAGTACAGGCAGGAGTTTGACATATCTTTTCCGGGTGAGCCTGGACTCCTGGGGTATTTGGTTCGTATGAAGTCTAATCCTAAGATCGCAGTGCAATTCCATCCCAAATGCAAGACTGAGGCTGCACATGCCAGCACAGGCTGACATTCTTGCCGGTCATTTGTGAACTTTGTCTTGTCTGATCATATTTTCAGAATGTATGAAGATTTGAATCACTCTGATGTCGTCATACTTTCAGTGCTTCAGTTGAAATACTTTCAGTGCTTCAGTTGAAAGAGTGCCATCTAGAACAGTTGCTTGTAAAGAAGCTTGCCTGAAGACTACTTATACCTGATATGGATTTTTTCTTTGTGCAGGCCAGGCGCAGGATGGAGCTGTGGAGGGGCGGTTCAGTTCTGAGCTAGAGAAGGACGAGCCAAGGGTAAGTATTGCACTGCAGGAGTTGCAAACTGCTGAGTTGGATGTCACCAGTTGTTCTCCAGGATCCCACAATTGCCCAAAGTTGCTCAATCAATCTGGAACTTTGGTTAGAACTGTACTGTTTCAAGTGGTTCAACCGGCATACATGCACGGGCCTAGCTACCAGCGTCCTTTTTTGTGCAATTGAAAAAGCAAAACCGCCAGCTGAAAGCAATGTCCAGGATTGAAAAAAGGCGAGATGGCCTCCTACTTTGGTAGGAATCGAAAGACTTGCATGTTACTGTTTGCTGGTGCACCACGAGCAGGAGTTTTAGAAATCTTTAACAATCTGGTTTTCCGCTCAAAGGGGACAGTGGACTCCTTTCCAATCAATTATGCCTCTTGTTCCTGGGTTGGAGCTTTGTTCACTAAACCTGTCATAGACGGTTCTTGCTTTATGCTAGGATGCCAAAGATCCGGGCAAAAGTCCCTAATAAGCAATTACCCGCAGTCTTCTTTGTATTCAGTGTCAGCTTGCATTCCATAATTAGTACGATGTCACCTTCTCTTTTTGCAGACCTCTGATATCGCCCTCCACAACGCACGCCCTGCTGTATCCCAAGGGGGGGGTGGCGTAGCCATTGGCCGCCTGACTACCTCCGACTCTCTTGCCTCGGCAACCAGTGGGGCCAGCCCCCGGGCCAGTCTCGACCGCATTGCTGAGTACCCCATTCATCAGGGACAGAGCATCTCGGGGGGTTCTGGCAGCAGTCTCTTTGGACCCCCCAGTGGCAGGATTTTGGCAGAGCCCACGGATCAGGTTGCGATGACCGATTCTGCAGAGGTCCCCCACGAAAGCGCTCTGCATCAGTTGACGGAGGCACTTGGGTTTGGGGCCAAGAGCGAGGAACACGGCTGGGCTGGCGAGAAGCGAGCGGCTGCTTCGCAAATGGACCAGATTGGCGACTCGCATGAGAGCACTTCTGCAGAATCGAAGAGCACTTTGAGCCGGGTGGCAGAAGCCGTCGGTCTGGGGGGGACAGCGGAAGGTGCTGGAATGGAGAAGAGAGAGGCAGCACACGAGCTGGCGGAACTAGGCGCGGCTCATGAAGAGAGCAGAGATCCTCTTACAGGTGATGCGGCGGAGGAGAAGGGCCTCCCCCCGTTGACGCCTTTCGAGCAGCGCCAGGCAGCTTTCGAGGACGGTACACCTCTCGGCGCCAGTCTCGCCAAGCCGGAGCCGTTGCATGTGTCCAAGGGGGGCTTCGCTGATGTCAGCAAGTCGCCGGTTTCGGTCCTGGAGGGGAACGACGCCATCAAAACGGAAGAGGTGTACAGTAATAAGCAGTCGGACATTTGGGGAGCAGTAGGAGTGGGCGCAGCGGAGGGGGCAGGAGTGGGGGTTGCTCTGGGCGCAGCGGCGGCGGCGGCGGCGGTTGTCGCACCACCGGTCACGGCTGTGGCAGCAGGTATGTCGGGTTTCAGCCCATACTAACATTCTGTCTGCGCTTGGACGTGCACCTGATCCACACAAATCATAATGCAAGATCATCTGGTCCACACGTATCACAGTGCAAGGATCACAGAGGATAGAGGGGGATTTGGATTCTGTCCCCTTCAGGTTCTGCAGTTCTGAAAAGATTTGCTCGAGAACGGGGCATCAAGGAGTGGGCGATTGAGATAGATCAGTACAGTGGGTGGTCTCCCTGCTTCTCGAAGCTTTTCTAAGCAGCCAGATTCGTGCCCACGGTTGGAGCACCAGAGGACGTTTACTGCACTGAAAAGGTTCCGAGTATTTGGAAAATTGGACTGGAGGACATTTTGAACAGCTTCCCTCAGCCTCGATCTCTGCTCAGCTCGTTTCAAGAGCTTGAAGTCAAAAGTTGGGTACTTTCAGTTCTGAGAATTTCTCTTCTGAATAGACGCCCTTCTTAAGAGCCACCGTTTGAATGAACACCATTCTCATCTGCTATTGCAGGCGTTGGTGCCGGCACGCTCGTTGGAGCGGGAGCGGCCGCTGCCTTCGGCGCCAAGACCGAGGTACCTGCAGAGCAAGAGCTCACAAAAACCAGAGCAACGACGACGGAACGCATGGAATTCGCAGAAGCAGGCGCGGGGGAGCGCGAGATTCCGCTCTCGGAGTTCCGGCTCGAGAAGGACTACCCGGTTGTTCTCCCCGAAAGCGGCATCGCAGGGCAGTCCGTTCCGGTGATGGAAGCTGATCCCCGGAGCGAGATCCCGCTTTCAGAGTTCGATATCCACAAGCACTATTACAACGTCGTCCCCAAGGTTGCCGAGGGCGATAGGCTTGTCGACACATCGTATGAGAGCACGGTTCTAGAGGGTGAGAGGTTCGTGAGCGAAGGTCGTCCGAGGAAGGGCCACGAGACCGAGCAGGTCTACAGCGACGAGCAGTCTGACATTTGGAGCGCGGTCGGCAAGGCTGCGGCCGGTGGAGTGGGCGTGGGGGCGGCCCTCGGAGCGGCGACGACGGCGGTGGTGGCTGCGCCAGTTGTAACGGCCGTCGCGGCAGGTAAAGACTTTAGAAAGGTTTACGATGTTTCTGATTGTCATTTTTGATGTCTCTGCTTTTGCAGCTTGGGTGTGGAACGGTTCTGAGGCGGTGATTTTGACCCCGTATCATGCCAGGAGGGTGATCGGAAGTGTATGCTACCAGCAAGCCCGTTTCGGAAGTGTTGAAGTGCGGAAGCTGCTCCTCACTGTTCCCAAGTTTGCCCAAGCGACAAATCTAAGGGGTATCCTTTAATACCGGTTCTTAGCTGAATACTATTGGATTATACTGCAGAAGCCCTTCGCTTGTAGAAGTTGTACTTCAATTATCTTTTATTTTTGGTTCTTCAGTTGATCTGCGTTCTGTCTGTGCACGGCATGGAAAGCCAGGTGTATGGAAAGAATGAGACAGAGAAGAGACTTGCATAAGAGACTTGTGTGGTAGGTTGGATGGGCCAAACAACGAGGCAGGTGTAAACCAGAAAATGATTGAGCCTTGAGAACGCACTTGAACTCGCAGGAGTTGGTGCGGGAGGCCTCGTTGGGGCGGGCGCGGCTGCCGCGTTCGGCGCCAAGAAGGAGGTGCCCAAAGACGGAACGGATGGGTATAGCGGAGCAACACATGCTGACGGTGGACTCCATCCCGATGCCAGGGACCTGACACCGTCCGAACAGAGGGCTGCCACGAAGATCGCAGGTAAGCTCTCACGTGCTTGGCCAACTTGACTTGTTCCAGATTGCAACATGGGTCAATGTGCTGCAGCAGAGGAGATTTAAGCCAAACGGGATACATATCAAGGGTTTAAGACTGCTCGGGACGCCATTCTTGCTCATGTTGAAGTGTACGGCCGTCTTGAAGTGTACAGTATGATCCAGTACTCACGCAACTTCGGAATTATCCCTTCGAGTGGTCTTCTTCACGATTTATCTCCTAATACCGTTTCCCCTCTCCCTTAACCAGCTCTCCGACAGTCTCCCGACTTTTGCACAACCATTCGTGTTGACCCCGTCCCTAACCACGTCTCTAACCACGTCTCTCTCAGGCGCCCTCGCCGCCAACGCGGCCGCCCACACCGCAAACCCCGATAAGAGACGCGACTTCGGGGACGTGGCGCTCCAGGCGACTGCCATTTCCGCGTGGGCGCACCACCCGGGCGAAGACGCGGCCGCCGATGACGAGGCCGAGGCGCGGCGCGCGAACGAGAGCGCGCGCGCGCGCGCGCAAAAGGAGGCCTCGGGGGCGGCCACCGGAGAGCCCATGAGCGTGACCATCAAGAAGATGCTGAAGCGGCCGGAGGGGACGCTGTTCGTGCTGTTTGCGGCGATGCTCGCGCCGTACTGGCTTGCGGCGCACATCGGGCTGGGGAGCATCGGGTTCTTCTGGCAGGTGGGTATTGGTTCTCTTTTCGTCTCTTTCTTTCAGGGAATCGTTTAGCAGTGGCAACCTACAACTGAAGTTTTCAGACTAACGGTCATTCTGTAGGTAAAGTTGCCCTCTGAGCGGTGGGGGCTCGAAACTTGTTGGGCAGCTCTATGTGTTACGGCGTCGAAATCCTCGCGAGTGCACAAGTCAATCAGCAATTTGTGAACGTCCGTGGTATTGCTTCTTCCGGATCTTGTTAAGGATGCTTTCAACCCTCCTCTATTCTCAAACATTGAAATGTGCACTGATTACTTGCTTGCTTCTGAACCGCTGCGCGGTCGATGCAATGCCAAAGAGGGATACTTCGCTGTCTTAAAAAGTATTGAGTTTGTTTGAAGCAGTGTTGGGTGCAGTTAAAGTTCACAGATCAAGGAGTCAAGTTGCGGACTTTAGGCCAGTGGGTCGTACTTCAACGACTCCGCCGACGTCCTGCGTTAACAACCTGAGAGTAGCAAATTGCAATCAATCAACTCTTCGTTTGGAAGTTCGACCAACTTCAAATGTTGTAAGCATTACTTGCGAAAAATGAAGCCTTGACAAATTTTCGTTGGAGCATTGCAGCTTATCTTCGGCATCCTCACGGGCATGGCCGCCATGCTTCTCTACCAAGAGCTCTCGTTGTACAGGAGCAGGAGACGGCTGCGCCGGGTAAGCTCCAGCAATAGAAATTCATCCCTCTTCTGGAAGGACACTCCTAAGGATCGTATGAGACTTTTGAGAGCTTTGAGAGCTGTGAGATCGTGTCTGTCCAAGTGCTTCGAGGGTCTTGCCTGTAGACGAACAGAGGGGCATCATCTCATCTTTTGTGACTGACGTGCACCAACTTGCTTTTAATGAAATGACTGCCAAGAAGTAGAAAAATGGAGATTCGACGGATGAAACCCAACCGCATGCTTTCGCTCGATTCGAAAGCGTGGTCTTGACAAAGGGCTTGAATTTCTTTCAAGGCCATACATTATAAGAGGGACTTTCTGGATTTTTAAGCGGGATTTTAAGCGGGAGTTCTTCCAGTCCCTTTGTTTCGATCTCGAACGCTCCAGATACGTCATCTAGGAAGCAACGAAACCTACTTCGAAGCCGAGCCTTATCACTCTGATGAGAGCTTATCCTGTGATTGTTTTCCTGCTTGGGCTAGTGCCCACTGCTTCGCAGCAAGCATTGCTTTACAGCCTCTTTTTTCTGTCCGAAATGGTTGGCTCTTCCGACATAAAACACAATCGAACCTTCCTGTCACCCGAGCTGAAGTCGTATTGATACTTTGTGTGCAGGCGATGGACATCGCAACACTCGGGGTGATGGACGTTAAGGACCTTCGTGTGCTGATGAACAACAACGTCCCCACCCACGTCTCTTTCCCAGAGTTTGAGAAGGTACGGATTGCTATGTCACCAGCCGAGCTGTTCGAAGCAACAAGCCTCAAACAACCGATATCTTTTATGACGCGGTGGTTTGAAAATATTAGAAACGAAGTAATGGATTCACGCTCTGCCAGCGACTCTTCTCCAGCTTTCTATCTCTCCGCCGAGTCGGGCCTTGAGGAATGTCGCAGTGTGGTTTGAAAGGTTGAAATCCACGTTTGCTTTGCATCACGGGAATCTTTCTGGCTGCGCCAAAAATCGTGCCCGGAGAGTAGTTCTGTTGTAAAGAGTTACTAAGTTAAGGAAGAGGCTTTGGCATGATATGTCTTTGTGACAATGCTGCCGTGAATGAACAAGGCGAAGTTGCAAAGTGAAACAAAGACTGCCTCTTCTGAAGCGACACTTTGACTTCGATGATCTCCACAACTCAAGAATCCAAGAGAGCGCGATGCGCTGATGTTAAGACTTCTATCATTTACTGACGTCACGCGCTTCCCCTGCTGACGTGTGCAGGTGGGCTGGCTGAACAAGTCGCTGGAGCGCATGTGGCCGTACATCAATAAGGCGGCGTCCAAGATGCTGGAAGAGACGCTGACGCCCATTTTGGAGATGTACAAGCCGGTCGTGCTCGAGAACATGAAGATCAAGAAGCTGACCCTGGGTGACGTGGCACCCGTTATCACCGGTGCGTGATCGTCCGTCTTATTTCTTTATCTCCTGTCCGGTCTAGGTTTTGTTTACGGCACAGGATCGATTGAGTGAAAGGTTGGAACTTTGCTTAATGACGTTCCATCGGTTTCGAAGACCGTTCGTCCCCTGTTTTATTGAAGAACGAGGCGCCAAATGGATCCAGTTTCCAATCTTAAGGGGTATTCGTTCTTGAGCGGTTCGAAAGTTTATGGTGCAATTGAAGGCTCAACACGAGGGCTCGACTCTATCCAAAGGAAGTCATTAGGATAGTACTCTCCAAAGAAATGAAGAGCTCGTTCGGCGGTGTGGTATAGGCATAGGAAGTTTCGGCTACTAACCAGGCTGATTAACAGACTTGACTTAGGTTACTGCACGATGAATCGGGCTGTAACCTTGTTTCAAGGCTGGTTACAGCCCAAGTCTTGTTGTTGGACATGTAGCCAGCGCATAAGCAGCCCATATCCATCTATCTAAGGGCCAAAACCGAGTATGAAGATACACTTGTGCGCTGACTCCCCTCTTTGTTTGCGTCGCGACAGGTGCGCGCATCCGCAACGGAGACAAGCCGGGCGAGGTGGTGCTAGACGTGAAACTAGACTGGCGGCGCGGGAAGCCCAACCTGTACTTAGACGTGAACCCATACCTGACGCCCCCCATCACTGCCAAGGTGACCTTCTTTCTATGCCTCTTGCTACGCCTGTGAAGAATTGCATCGTTTTCTTAGGGCCGTGAACCTCGCGCCCAGGCTGTTGCACGGTCACTCCGGAGTTAATTAGGTGCGAAATTACAGATTACGGATGGTGACGAAACTGTACTCCCAACCTTAGTCGGAGTTATCGAGCACTCCTTCGAAAACGACCCTTGATCTTGGGTAGATCAAGGGTCCTCAGTTTGTCTCCCACGGTGTTGAAATGCCTTCTGGGTATCAGGAGGCTTGTTCTTGCGGCTGTTGGTGGTGAGACAATTTTTGCGGTTTATTGTAACCGTTGTCTACCCTGCCACAAGCGTTGTCTTTCGCACAAGCTCCTTCTGACCGCTGAGTAGAAAGTGCGGACCTTGCGATGCTTGGGCTCCTCTGGCCCCAGCGTCAAGTTCCTGGAATCTGATAAATAGCACACGCAATGGAAAGGCTGGAAGAACGGATCTTCACCTATCTGCCGCTACCCTCTCGACGAGACCCCCTTTCCTCTCGGTGAGAAGACGTGGACATCGTTGGGTGCGCATCTCTTTTCCCCCGCTGTCAGCCTGACTACTCAGGGAACGACATCTTAACCTGCGGCTGAACCCTTTGAAACCCTTAATCCTGAACCCGATCACGAGATGTGAAAACTGTGGAATGGATGTTGGCGCCGCTGCTAACCAAAGGATTCGAGTTCCAGAGCAGAGTACACGGAAAACACAAGGGATCTGGCCTCGTTTGCCGCTTAAGTTCCTAGCGGGTCCCGTTAACCATCCGGGTGAGTGACGTGGATATTGTGGGGGTGAAGTTTTCCACCGCTGTCTACCAGAGTAACCACCACATCAACCCTTTTTCTTAAATGTTGGCTGAATCCTTACTTGTTTCACCTTTGACGGTAAAGGTTAGCGCCGTCTTAAACCTTTTTACCTTACCCCTGGCCCTTCATTTTTTGTTCCAGGTGAGAGACGTGGACGTTGTGGGGTGGAGTCGCATCATGTTCGCGCCGCTGACCGGAGAGTATTCGATGCGCGACGTCCCGTCTTGTCTTCGGCTGAATGTCTTCGCAGATCCGTTGTAACCTTCTTCTAACCCCTCCTTAACCCTCTCGCTTGACCCAGGTGAGAGACGTGGACGTCGTGGCGTGGATGCGCATCATGTTCGCCCCGCTGACTGGGAAAGACTTCCCGTGCTTCGGCGCGGTGGTGCTGTCGCTCCAGGAAGAGCCCTTCGTCGACTTCACCGTCGGCCTCGAGGGCACGAGCATCGGGATGATCCCCGGCCTCGACGGAATGATCGACGTGAGCGCGCCGTCCCCGATGACGTCAGCGTGACGTCTTCGATGTTCCGGAGCACTAGCAAAACCGCGATTTGGACACGCTGCTGTGACCCAGCCGCGGAATCAAACAGACCTTCAGTTGCCCCAGCGTCCATGCTCCTAAACCCGCCTTTAACCATTGCAAAGCACCATCCAAACCGCGGTTGTGGACATGCTGCGTGTGCCGCATGGAGTCCCCGGCCTTAAATGCCATCGCTATCTTCTCTTTGACCCAGCCCTTAACCCTCGAATATCAGGAGATAGTTTGATTGCGCCTTAACCCAGCAATTTACCTTTGCAGAGTGCGATTGAAACCGCGGTTGTGGACATGCTGCTGTTCCGACCACAAAACTTACAAACCTTCTGTGATCCCAGCGTCCATGCTCCTAACCGCGCACTTTAACCCACCTTTACACACATTGAAACATCCAACCTCCATGCTCCTAACCTCGCTTTTAACCCCTGCAGAGCACGATCAAAACCGCGGTTGTGGACATGCTGCTGTGGCCTAGCCGCATGGTGTTCCCCATAATGGAGGGCGATTTCCGCGACCTTGAGTTCCTGCCAACGGGCGTGCTCACCGTTACCATCATCGAGGCGACGGGGCTCATGAAGACGGACATCATCGGCAAATCGGATCCCTTCATTTTCGTGTACGGTGAGTTGTGTGTTTCTGCCTTGTCTCTTATGCTAAGGCAATTGCCGTTCTTGGCGCGACGGGTTTTTGAAAACGGATGTCGACGGACCGGTTTCCTGCCTCTTTGAGTTGTGTATTTGGAATCAAGTTCTGTTTCTAATGAGTCGTTGTGTTTGAGCAAAGGCGGTGTTTACGATCCTTGTGCTTCGTCTTGGAGTGCTGGTCAGAAAAGCTGCGACTCGAATTACGTTGCAAACCCAGTTTTATGTCCTCGCATTTTGGCTCTGTTCAAAGTTAGTGTGGATATAGCCAAAGGTTATTTGGAAAAGCTGCAAGCGTTTGTCGTTCGCCTAACGCGACCGTTCGGTCGCTTGCAAACGCCCAAGCAGTGTGGCCTTTTTCATGTAACTCGCCATGTATGTCGCATACCCCGATCGTTCCTCATCTGATCGGTTTGTCCCACAGCATAGACAAACTCTCCAAAGTTAGGTGGCTGAGTGCAAACTCTGTGAAGTCAGTTGGCCGAAGCAAATCTACCTCCTAAAACGCATGGGACCCTAACAAGACTCCGGACGCGTGTCTTGCAGTGCGCAAGCTCAAGGAGCGCATCAAGCGGACGACAACGAAGATGAACGACCTGGAGCCTGTGTGGAACGAGACGTTCGAAGTGCTCGTGGAGGTGAGGAGTTGAACTTTAACACGCTCGAACCCTCAAAAGCTGGAAGCTTAAGCCATGTGACCCGCCTCCTTTGAATGCGCCACTATGCGCTTCACTAAAGCCATTTAACCCGCCTCCTGTGAATGCGCCACTATGCGCTCGATCCGATTGCGATATGCGACACGTGGAACCATTCCAGTTTGGAAGGAAACTCTGCGTTCTGCATGTCCGGTGATCGAGCGTCGGTTGAGAGAAGTAGGCAGAGAAGGGCAGGCTACCTATTTTCTCGGTATGTCTAACCGTCGGCTCGTAAGCGTTGTTCAAATTACATAAGCGATGGAGAGACAGATCACGTAAGCGATAGCTCAAGGTTCACGACACCCCCCTGTGGTTGACGTTCTTTTAACAGGCCCCATTGGAGCCTCCTGCACTTTCTTCCGCAACCCTCTCCTCCAAAACCTTTTCGCCCTCACTTGCCAGTCCGACTCGCTCACCCGCGTGCTCAGTCCGGCCCTCGGCAGGAGTAATCTGATGCCTTAACCCGTTTTCGTAAACCCCCCCAAACCCCGGCCTTAACCTCTCCTACAGGCTCCCGACATCCAAGAGCTGACCCTGCGCTGCATGGACCAGGAGACGATGGCCGACGCCGAGTTCATTGGCATGGCCAAAGTGCCGCTGCGCCAGTGCAAGCCCGGCGAGGTGGGTTGCCGCGACCAGTCGGGCTAACCGTATCAGACGGGTTAAAACGCATCAGTACTGCTTTACGAAGTTCATTGTTCACCGTTTTCCACAGCAGCGTGTTTCACACTCGCTTTTGAAGGGCTGTTTAAGCACCGGCTCATCTGAGGGCCTGCCGATTTGTTGCTTGACCATTTGACACCACTGCTCCTCTCTTTCTCGGCGTCATTTACCAGTCATGAGCAGCACTCGTAGTCTGTGTATCCAGTCGCCTACTCAGCTTGGAGTGTAGAACGAAGGCATCTCTCTGGTCTGCAGGTGATCGACAAATGGGTGGACCTGACTCCCGAGTCGCTCATTGAACAGAGGCGCGCCGGCGAGAGACACGTGCACGAGAGGTGGGTTCCGGTTTGCGCTCTTGGATTTCCTGGGACCATATTTCGATTGCCCACCCTTCGTTGGTCAAGCTGGTCCTTTACTTCTTTCAATCACCAAGCCGCGCAACCTCTGCTGCTGTTCCCACTATCTGCTGCCAGAGAAGCTGGACGACTTTCTTGTCGAAGTCTTTCCGAAGTCGGATTGCGCGTCGTCTTCTGTTCCGGTATCCGACATCTTCGACTGAGCGGACTGTCCTTTCGCTCTGCTTGTCTTGTGGAAAACCTCCTGTTGTTAAGAGTATATGATTACGCACATTGGCTTTCCAGCTATCACTGAAAAGCAGGGAGAACAGTAGCTCGGTGAGCCTTAAAGTGGGCGTAGGCTTCACACCGGCGGCATGGCTGAAGCGTGACGAAGGCACTCGTTCGCCAAGCGAGCACAGTTCGATAGATTCAACTTGTGCTTCTCTGCCGTCCGATTCAAAGTGCACTCGCGGGTGCAAAAGCTTGTCCCATTCATGAGACAGGAAAAGTGAATTCGAGCTTCTTTTGCGTGGCAGGGTGCGTGGCCGGCTCCACTTCCGGATGCGTTGGGACCCGTACGAGAAGGGCAATGAGCCGTGGCGCTCTGACGACTTCAAGAAGCAGGAGGAGGCGAAGCGCAAGCAGATGGAGGAGGAGGAGAAGGAGCAGATGAAGTCCAAGGGGAAGAAGGGCAAGAAGAAGTAGGAAGCGCATTGAACGAAGGGGACTCGGTGTGTCGCAGGGGAAGTAGCGAAAAGCCGGGGCGGAAAGTGAAGCGTCGAATCGAGGCCAGGGGAAATGAAAGCAGGGGAAGAAGTGAGTTTGAGAGGACGGGTGGGAGTATGATGATACGATGGGAATCGCAAGGAAAGCATTTGCAGCGGAAATGATGGGATGCAGAAACAGAACGGAAACGCACAACTTTTGGGTTAGATTGTCCATACTTTGGTCACTGGTAGAGCGCTGTTGACGTCGAGTGTTCGTCAGGTTACAGTATAATATCTCTGTGGTAGTTTTGCATAATCATTGTTCGTACTAGGGTCCCCATCAAATTTGCCAGGACGTTTCTTGAACCGTTACTGCCAGCTCTTGGTACGTCTATTCCAGAGTGATTTCAGAATGCAACACAGTGCGCTCATTTGATGATTTATGGGGATGATTTATGTAAACAAACTCGCCCCTTTCAAGCGAAAGGTGCCTAGCAGCTAAGCCTAGGCATGAAAAGATTCCTGGCACGTACACAATTGTTGCACTGCAGCAGTCCGGTAAGCTTTGAAACCGCAATGCATATTTGGATAAATATCACCATTTTCAGGTCATGATTCAGGGCCATGACATCATGTGCACGTCGGATATGCACGATAACCTGGGAACGGAGCCGCATGCAGGAGAGATTGATATGCAGAGATCTTTTATCGACCTTGACATCACAGATTTCACGATAGCAACTTCTCAATTTTCGCATCACACGCGTTTAATCGCTTGGCCTGGCGATTGTGTATATCACATCCAGGCATCCTGCATGTTAAGTGTCGCACTAACGTTTTTGTTTTAGGTAGGCGTGTATTTCCATGATGGTCATGACCTGAAATTAGTTTTCTTCCTTGTTCTGATTGGATTCTAGATGTGACGACGGGACCCAAGATCGGACAATCGTGCACAGATGGGACAGATAGGGAGCCTCAGATCTGCATTTCAGGAAGGTCTTCGCCTGAACAAGTTAGATGCACAACAAAGTCAATATTGGAAAGCTGTTAATGATAGCGTCAGATCTTGAGAACAAAAAGTCAAAGTCAGACAGCAATTGGCCCCCAGACGACCTGAAATGTGGGGCAGAAGCCTGGTTAAGCTGGCTAGTGAAATTTTCACCATTGTGCTGGCGGTTACAATATTCTGCTTTTCCTCGTACTGATCCGCCATATGAGCGTCGATCCAATCAGTGACACAGATCCTTGTGGCCTTCTTTCCACGCCCGCTTTTGACAATCTGCATCCGGAAACGAAAAATGCTTGGAATTCCGTCTTCTTCGACGTGCACAGGTATTGCAAGCATCCGGTTCCAATCAGCGACCCACCCAGACATTTCCTCTAAGCGATGGTAGCTGCTCCGGAAAGGACTCCAAATTTGAACACTCCATGCACTACAAGCGGTTGATGACTTTTGAGGGACACCGTTTCTCAAACTTGCGTTCAATTTTGCTAAGTCTCGAGGACGCCATTGGCTACAGCGGCAAGATACAACCCTACTGAGAATCTCCAAGGATGTCAAGATTCGTGAGTCGGAACCTGCCAGCCAAACCGCTTACCTCTGCTGCAGTAGACAGCTAATCTGCATCGTCCGCAGAATCGGAATGACCCAGCCATGGCTTCCACGTTGCCACACTTGTGCTGTGAGCATTTCCTGCGCTCCAGGCGAGGCTTCGACGGCATACCCGGGGATGAGCTCATTTCACCTTCGGCCCCTGCTCCTTTCAACGTAAAAGCTGGTTTCCGTCCCTTTCGTTGGTGCTGAGAACAGATTCTGCAGCTGAGTCGCCCTTCTCATTGCTTTCGCGTCGCTTCGAAAACGTTCCTTAAAGAAGGATTCTGTCTCTTCGCTTGTGAGGTCCTTAACTTTTGTTTTGAAGCACTGTGACGCTGCAGAGAAAGCCATGGACCATGCCACCCCTCCGATTGTGTCTGACAAGGAAAGCAGAGCTACAAGTGACGATCCAAGATCAGGGTACTTCGAAAGACCCGTCTCATGGTAATCAGAGTCTGCTGTCAGGAAGAGAACTCTGATTGCCACATCAACTTGCTTTGTGCTGTTTGCATGTGCCAGCGCATGTTCTACGAGGGCGTATAAGTCTCTTCTCAGAGTCCGTAGATCCACTTTCTGAGTCACCAAGGCGTTCATGATGAACGCCAAGGTTGTGAACTGTTGCTGTGCGTTTTCCTCTGAAGTACCTTCTCTGATGCTCGCCGCATAGCAAAGGACTTTCTTCAAAAAAGCAGTATCATTTGAAATTTTCCTTAGGTAACTGTGAGGCCCCACCATCATGTTCATTAGTAGCTTCAAAATCTCCGCCCTTGCATCCTGCTCGTATGTGCTGGCGGCTTCGTGACCGAGTCTTTCAGTGGATAGCTTCCTTAAGAACAGAGTCTTTGCAACCTCTGCCAGGTCAGGAAACTCTCTATGAATAAAAGCTCGGCAGCGGCTGTCTACCGCCAAAGCTATGAGGCACTGGGTGTAGATAAGAGCTCTGTTCGTCCTGATCTTGGTATCTGATTCTGAGCTGAGGATCAATCTTATTTGAGAAGAAACAGTACCCAATCTCCAGTCACAAGTTCTCTCATCCCCGAAGCGATGGCTCGCATAACCCCCCTTTCAAGCAGGAATACAGCCAAATCCACGGTTTCCTGGCCACTCCGTTGGAGGTTCTCAAAACACTGCCTCACTTGAAAAAGTTGGAGGAACCGTCTCTTCGAATTTGTGGACTCTGCTGAATTCAGAGTCCCAAGCACCAGTTCAAAAGCTCGTCGCTCCTGCATGCCTGCGCTCTTCAGAAAGACGAGCTGCATCGTCTTGGCTACCAGAATGATCAAAGTCCCTTTCTCTAGGGGTTCCCACTGTTGGCTTCATCTGTGGTTTGAAGAGTCGTCTTTCAAGAAGCTACTTCAAAAGAAGAACGTTGATCCATCGCCTGGTTACTCTGATGCCAGGTTATTCTCATCCATGGATGCTCCACTTGGGGCGGCTGCTGCAGACCCCTCGTCGCAGGGTCTGAAGGACTCTAGCTCCGTCCACAAGTGCACCTCAGCCGTGGCTATGCGCAAGGTGCAAAAAGCAGGCGCTTGCTGCATGCTGCATGGCGCGCTCTTGATGACAGAAACAGCAATGTGTACTCGCTGACTTGGTGAAAGTGGAACTGAACTGAGCCGAAGCTTGCTCGAGGCGAGCTGCAGCACTCAGGAATCGACCTCGTGGAAGGTACTTACCTAGGGGCGTCGGCGTTGCACCGATTGGCCAGAGCGCCATCCTGCTTCGGCTTCGTCAGTTACTGTAACATTCAGTCTGATACTGCACGGCCTCTGAGTGTGCGGCCCTTTTGATATTACGATGCACTGGTACCTTGCCGCGCAGGTATTCTGTCTGGTGGAGTTAGACAGCTTGACTACCGTACTGAGGATGATCTTTACGGTAAGACAGTGCAGTAATTTCTTAAAGTTGGCCAGGAGGAGACGAAAATAAGCGCGGTACAGCTGACGTACGGTGGCTAGCCGCCTTTTATCGAGCTTTGCAGCCAAGTTGTACTGCAATGCATACGAGCCCTGCTCGAGGTTTAATGGGGCCAGGTTTCTAAATTCTACTCTGATGCAATAAACTCGTCAGCCTTTCCGGCTGCACGCACCTCAGTGGCCGCTATATGCGATTGCACGCGGAGACTTTGCTGGCGCGCAGCTCTTCAATGCCTAGATCCAATACAAGTTGGAAGCGAGACTCGGCATGTTGCTATTCAGCATCTCTTGTCGAGTTAAGGGGCACACGAGTGCAGGAAGCGCGACCGTCAGCTAGTGACAGCTTAAGCTTTGTTGCCTGTTATCACGAATCCGTTATCACGAATCCGAGAACAGTGCGGAAAGGCAGCGCTGATGTAGAAGCATGCACTCGGACGTTTTGAATAGGCGAGCTTCATTACGAAGTTGCAGAACCTGCACCTACATAAGAGCTGCTTGTGAAGGGACAGCACACTACAAGTTCTCTGGTGCAACCAGCATTACCTGTGTTGCAGCCAATGAGTTGCAAGCGGCAGGTCAAAGCTTCTCTATTGCAGAGTAGAACGCGCTTCTGCGCACCTTGCCTGGCGTCTACCGATTTATGCACCTTGCTTCTGTCTATCTGGATGGTCTGGTACGTTGACAACAGAAGGTTTCGGGGCCTTGCGGCCGTTAGGCTAACCACACAAAACCGGACTTTGCACCTTATCGCTACTGCATCACGGCTGTGCATGCGTATGAAAAGAACGTCTACGAGCCTTCACCTACGATTGCTTCGCTTCATGAGCGGCGTCGCAATCCGATCAACGCTTCTAGCGCTCTTATCTCGCTTAGAACAAGCGACTGACGCGAACCTGACCAATCCTTTCTTAATCTGCTATTAACCCGTCGTTAGCCCGTCTGGCAGCCCGCCAGGTCTCTGATCGACAGCTAGCCGATGCTTTTTGCTCTTAGCCGCAAGCCACTCTCGCGAACGGCAAGATAGCCAATTGCCGCCCTTGATGTTCTGTCCGAGTTTTATCGTCCGGATAAAAGTTTACGCACAAACTGTCAGTCATAAAGTTGCTGCCCAACTACTTGCCCACCTTCCCTGGGCCTTAAGGTTCACAAACCGTTCCACTCAACCCACAACATGCCGACTACTCCGGCCAACTGCACGCAACCCCTTGACCTTAACCTAAACCTTAACCGCTGTTAGATACCACGTCAGGTTCGGCTCTCGCCCGGGCGTCGTCGGGAGCTCCCGCCCGAACATCCCCTTGGTGACGTCATCCACCTTCCGCACGTGCCAGCCGTGCGCGTTGAAGAAGGCCTCCGGCTCGCGGCATCCCCACGTCCAAGAGCGGCGCACGAGGGACGCGGACTGCTTGCCACGTGTCACCGCCTGGTCGCTGATCCCGCTCACGAGCATCACGCTCCCGGGGGCCGAGAGCTGTAGAGGAATGGTTTCCATTCTCAAGCGACCAGTCACTCGATCGGACGCTATGCTTGTCGCCGTTTGCTTCGAGTAAAGTCGTCACCCACTGGCGGCATTGACGCACACAATGCGCGCTCCATCTTCAGGAAGTATCTTTGAGAGAAACGAATCAACAAGGATGGGTAAGAACAGCTTACACGCCACTATCCACCAACCGATCAGGGGACACCATTTCCAGATCACCTCTCCTCTAATCGCAGCGCTTCGGGACCTCGAGCATATTCGAGGAAAAAGAGAAGCCCGCTCTCCTCCGTACACACGAAAAGACGAGTTCTGGGACGGAAAAGTTGATTTGCTGAGAAGAGTCTGTACTAACCTGACACGCGCAATAGCAGACGGAGGAGTGAGAAAAACGAAAAGATGGAGCGGAAGCAGGCTGAAACGAAGATCGAAAGCAGACGCGGCGGAGCGATTTCGATACACCGAGGCGAAGCACAACCAGCAGTGAGCAAGAAAAGAAGCAAAAACGTAAGGGATGACCTAAGCAAGAGCGGACCGGGATGCTATTACAGATCGACGCTGTTTCCACGATTTGTTCTGATCCGATAAGAACGTACGAAAACAAGAGCAGATAAGAGTCTGCTTACCCTGGCGGCGCTCTCTAGCAGGTCGATCACTGCCGGAGGATCCAGGTACATGACGAGCCCCTCAAAGAGCCACACCGTCGGTTCGCTAACGCGATAGCCCTCTTCGACGAGCACATCTTGCCACGTAGCATCATTCAGATTGATCTGGGGAGACGAGTCAAGCTGACGATGTTAGGAACAAGCGACCCCCGCTAGTACTGGTGACTATCTTAGCGGCAAAATTGTTTCTCAAGGCGCAGGAGTCATCGTTCGACTGCCTGTCGTTGAAGCGCACACATATGTACAATTTCTGCCCAAATCGCCCTTGGCAACAAAGTAGGAGACAAGCAAGAGGGACAAAACTTCAGTGGCAGGTGCTCCGGCAGTGAATCTTTGTTTGGCAAAGAGCTGTCCGGTAGCTTCTCAATGCTGCAATTACGAATCATTGCCACTGAGAAGTGTGCTGACGTCTAGCCGAAAAGATCGGATTTCTGCAATCGCTTCGATAAAGCCAGCGGTTAGGGAGAAAAACGGGGTCGCAAGGCCCCAGCATCGTGCTTACACGCGCAAAAGAGATTCTTTGAAGCACGATCAACCCTTGAAAGCCGTGGCCTTTTCGGAATCCTTGCAGCTAAATGTCGGCGTCCATTTGGCATTGCCCTTCGTGCTCATAAACGCCCAAAGGTTCTAAGCCTTGCGGTTGTTCACTTCGGTGACACTCAAGCAAAGATCAGAGAGCTGCAGTCAAAGTTGCAGTCAGCTCGAAAACCCACAAGGTATGAGAATATGCAAACTTACCGGTAGCATCACTCGCCTCCGTGCCAACCGCAGCGGCGGCAGCCTCCCCATCCCCTCGAGCTCTCCCAGTAGTTGCCGCTTCAACTTGATGACGTCAGGACGATCCCCCTGAAACGAAACAAGCGGACAACGTGTCAGGTCACGTAGGAGAATCTTAAGGGACACAAATCGTCCAACGGGGATGCTCAGTACCTTGTAACGGCTTTGAGGATGATTATTTTCAAAGGCTAGCACGTTACGTTTTCTCACCTCGAAGACAGTCTCGACCAGCGGCGCAGCATCAGCTATCTGCGCACTCGAGTTTGTGCCTGCGCTTATGTCCGAAGAGGAAGCGTCGGGAGATGGAGCGTCCGGAGAAGGGGCGTCCGGTGACGAGGCCTCCGGGAGCCGCCAGGTGCGGGCATCCATTCCGCAGCCGAAGATGACGACCTGGAAATCAGATGACGTCACGGACCAACAGCAAAAGAGGGGACATGGAATCGCGAGCTTTCAATGATGTGATTTTTTAATGGAGGGCACTGGGCTTACACTTCCAGAAACACTTATACGACTCGGTGAAGTTTGCAGCGTCGCTGCTTGCATCCGTGCTACTCTATTTTATTGATAGCATAACGACCGGGTTACGCCCAGAAGGAGCAGAAATGGGAGTCATGTTTCACCTGGAACACATCACCTATGTTCGCTGTATGGACGCTGGGAAAGGTGCAAGCGGTACTCAGGCATATCAACTTCCTGGGAGAACGCTTTCTTCTCAGGTGCGTCGTACTAGCAGTCGCTCCAACTTTCAATTGGATCCTTCCCGAAACTCATTCAATGTAGAGACACAGACCAGCCTAGCCACATTGAGAAATCAAGAAACGCCGCGAAGCATCTGCCAAGCCGGTTACAGGTTCACCATGAAATTGAAACCAGAACTCACGAAGGCCCCGTCTCGGACTGGTGGACTCGCTCATATTTGAAGGAAAACTGGGACACAGCCTACCTGTATCTTCGCATCCGGTGTTGCCTCCTTGATCTCCGCAACCGCTGACATCAGCGCATCGTCAAAGTACTTGGTGCGCACGGCAAAGCGCACCCCCGGGTTCTTCCCCTCTGCGAGCTGCGCCCGCTGCTTTTCGAGCACGGCAGCACCGGCCAGGTATTCCGCGAGGTGATCTTGGAAGAGGGCGTCGGGGCGCTCGGTTTCGAGGGCGCGGTAAGCGGCAAAACTTCTCGACGTGGACGAAACCTAAACAGAAGTGAAGTGAAGGCCTTCAAACTGTATGGCTAGTTGCGGCAGATATTTGGCAAGGTGGTCCTGGAAGAGGGCGTCCGGGCGTTTGATCGCGAGGGCGCGGTAAGCAGCGAAGCTTCTTGACGTGGATGAGACCTGAACCTAAGCGAAGTGAAGGCCTTCAAACTGTGGGGTTAGCTGCCGCCAAATACTTGACAAGGTGGTCTGGGAAGAGCGCGCTCTGGACGCTTGACGTGGATGAGACCTGAAAAAGAGTGAGGGCTTTAGACTGTGAGGTTAAGCTGCGGGACCCACCAGGTATTTGGCGAGGTGATCTCGGAAGAGGGCATCCGGGCGCTCACTTTCAAGGCGCACTATGTGGCAGAACTTCTTGACGTGGAAAAGACTTGAGAAGGAGTGAAGTTAGAACTCAAATTGGTAAGCTAAGAAAGGCACATGGAAAAAGCATTTACAGTGGTATTTAAGTCACCTGCCTTCAAAGCTTGTATCATTTCCACTGCATAACCAGCATCGACCACCAGTCCCTTGCAAGCAATTTTGTTGCGCCAGAGAGCGCAGTCATGATTACAAATTTAGGGAAAGAGGGTCACAGCGGTGATCTAAACGCCTTTGTGCCAAGTTACGCTTTGTTGCTTATGAAGAGAGCAGTCTGATGGGACTGAATAGAACAAAGTGGAACTGCCATCATGTTCAGAGCGGCACTAAATTGGAAGAGTATAAAAATGTAAGAAGAAAGAAGAGGAATGAAGAAGGATGTAACACAAACAAAAAGTTTCTTCAAGAATATTTAAACAAGTGTCACACCAATGCTGGCTTTGTCCAAACGCCGTCCCTCTTCCAGACACCTCCATCAAGTATTCATAAGTGGATGATTCAGGAGACAGACCTTGCCCTCCTGTTTTCAAAGATACCTTCTCTTTTAACCCAGCACACTTACAAGCCAATCAAACCATGAAAAATTGCGCGCGCTTGAGAAGCCTGGATAGATTGCCAGAAATCTGTTCATTCGCAACTTTCGCCGGCCAAGGGGAACAACTTGTGGGACTAATATACCTTGACACGGGCTTATTCCAGTCACAATGCCGGACTCGCCCAGGTTATACATCGCTTGCTGGGCCTCACTCTCGCAAACCATTTCTCAAGAACAAGTAACAAAAGATGGAGATTGGGGGGCGATGATTCTTCTTGCTCCAATCAGACTCAAGATCCACCACATTGTCAAGCCCAATGCCCAAGGAGTCCAGCTCCAATGGGACCGCTCTTATAAGCAAGTGGAGTAACGAACACTCTCTCAACCATGGATTGCATCATTTTTCTTGCACCAAGCAGGATCAAACTCACCACATTGTCAAGCCCATCGCCCAGGGAGACCAGCTCTAGCGGCGCCATCGACGTCCCAGTGTCAGAGACATCTATGGTCAATCTTTGAAACCCATTCAGCTCTGGTGGACCTGCCGAGGCGCGCACTTGGCTCTCTTCCAATGCAGTTCCAGTACGTTCGCTCACATCCTGCATTTTGCCTGACGTTTCCTGGGGACGCCCAGATGCTTTCTGACTTTTTCAAATGCTTCTTACAAAATCTGTTTGGTTGGCTGTATGGCGGCGCTGCATTCTTCCGCAAGCTGCATTGGTGAATATCAACCAGAAAGATAGGAGCAAAGCTTGATTTGAACGTGATCTAGCAACCACTAAGCTCCAGTCCAACGGCCCGTCATTCAAGCCAGGCGCCAGCTTCTTGTTGCACTGAAGCCATTCCACGACCCAAAAGGGACTATACTTGAAAACGTAACAATTCTCTCCCACAATTGTTTTGTAGCTTTTGAACTTTGCAGGAGACGCATTGGAGTCCGATGTGCTGTGAATCTGATCTGTTTTATTTTTGCGCTTTTCCAAGGGGCCATTGCAGCAAAACTATCGAAGTAGACTCCTTTTTTTAGTGTCTCCGCCACTCTGATTGGTGTGAATTACTCTCAACCCACCTGAAAGCACCTGAAGTGTGACAATTATTGCAGTCTGTCAGTGGTTACGGGAGTGGTTACAACGTTGACAATGAAACTGACATCGACATTGACATCGACGTTGACATTGACATTGACCCGGGGCACTTACTTTGACATTAGGGTTACGCTGCAAACCTGTGACGGTTCACGCCAATCGACCAGCGCTTTGTTAGGGTTACGCCATTTCCCAATGACATTAGGGTTACTCACTGACAGTGACAACCGGGCAGAGTTCTTTTAGTTTTAGTGTTGTAGGCCATTTATCCTGACCCGGTTCCATCCGTACTAGAATCCGTACCCCAAAGCGTACGGTAAAACCTGAAATTCTGACGCATTTCTGTTCAAAGGACCTGAGCTGACAGTACGGTCCACGCGGATACCCTGTGAACCTATGATCCCGCGTGTAAGGGAAGGGTCATTTTGAAGCGGTACCCCCCGTAGTAACTAGGAAGGGGTTTTTGTCCGAGCTTCCAAGTGCCTACCCCATAGTCACCCTGTGCGCTAGCGCGCGTCCCAAGTCCCCCCCCCTTGTCATGGAGGCCATCACAGGCCTCAAGTCCCCCCCCCAGTTGTCAAGTGCACCATACTTGTCCTAGCGCCGCCGGTCTAGGGTCCCCCCCCCATGGGCCATGTAACTTTTGCAGCGGCGGCGCGCCACGACTATCATTATTACATACATATACAATGGTAGCTAGATTCGTATGTTAGTTCCGTCAAACGACGGCGAGGCGCGGCGGCACTGCAGCGTCAATCGTAAACGGCATATGATACAGCATGCATAGCATAACTTAAAGGCAATGATGACGGTGTGCATGATTCTTGCTTGTTGAATGCAGCCCTTGCATTGAATCCAAGCTCGGAGATCTGGCCGGCATTGTCACAGGCTGTTTGCTCCACATGTGCGATCAACAACGTACTGATCATCAATTGAGCGTTTGAGTGCTCCATATTCAAGACAGCATCAGATTTGCATTTTCCCAGCTTGCCACATAGCATCGAAGCAGATAGATGCATGCGCTAGCCTAGATGAGGGTGCTCAGTGAAAATGTGATCGCAACGAAACATTTTAGCTGCTGTCGGTAACTACTCAATGATGGACAAGCAGTCACTCGACTCCATCTTCTACAAGTCTGTCCCTATCGGCATCGTTTTCTCTAGGAGCTTCGTTTTTCTTCCTATAATAATTTACAATAGAAGCCCTTTTCAGGTTCGTTGTCTCAACTAAGCTGTCTAGTGCATCTTCAGTGAGCACAGGTGACGACTGCCACTTCGTTGCTAGAAGAATTGAAGGAAGCGGTAAATCCGACAGAAATGCCTCCGATATGGGATCCTCACTCTCTAACAAGCGAATCCGGTCCTTCAGATCGATGTACTTGCCCTGACCATCAGGAACGGACATTATTGGGTAAAAAGATAAACCAGGCAATTGCCTCTCGCCAAACCTACTGCAATACCAGCAACTTCCCGCCTGAGCAAGGTCGCACAACTTGTACTGAAACCAATAGCGCCCCGATCGGCCATGCTTTAGCGACCAGAACTCGATATCACGAGGAGTCAGCTGCGCTTGAACAATCTCCTTTCGAGAAATGTGTGCACGATCCTCCTCGGGATAGCAAGCTAAGTCCTCAGGCAGTGGCATCGGATGGGTATTGCCGCACTTTCCTTCACACTTACAGCGCTTGGTGCACGGCAAACCTTGGTCCCAACACTTTCGGCACCGCGCGCTTGTGCAACGATCTTCAGCTTGGCATCCACAGCCGCCTTCCCCGCTGCTCTTGCGGTAGCTTTCGAACGCCTCGTCGTCGATGAACACAAACGGGGAGCTGGTCTCGGGAGAGGGGGGAACGACGGCCTTGATCTCCCTGCGGAGCCGAACGTTGGACGTTAGTGAATTCAACACATACTTTTGACCGGCTACAATCATCGACCCAGTTGAAAACCGCACGGTCGACAGAATTCTCAAGAGCAGACTGGCCTGATTCTCGCATCCTTACAACCGCCTTCTCTGCCTTTGGTCAGGCTCCGTTTGAAAAGAGCAGGTACGACTCATTTTGCGACAAACTCGCCACGAGATGTAAATTCTGCATGATGAGAAGCTCTGGTTTGCTGTTCGAGCAGGACGAACTTTACCTGTCGAATGCCGCCGACCTGTCCAACGTGTCCCGGCACTTTTCCACCGCGTACTCAAAATTTCGTCTCTCGAGCTTGGCGTCCTGCAAAGGCGGGATGCGTATACTTTACCATCGGAGGAGAGCGACCCGAGACCTGGTGCTTCCGCTGGGCACGAGGGAATCAAAGCTAAAGACTTGATAGTCCAATAAGATAGAATACACTCCTTGTTTCAAGGCACTCTGTGGACATCTTGAACTCTCGAGACGATTGAAGACGACCCAAGATGCTCCAATTAGGCCGAGAGCTATCCGTTCGTTGCAATAAGATGCTGTCAGGATTAAAGCACCAACGCAACTCAACATAAGCTCCAAGAAGTCCTTCGGCATCTTTGGGTGGAGTTGCGGTCAACCGACTTGAAACTCACCGCGTCCGACGCTGCCGAACCGTCCGTTTTTAGACGCGCTTTGCCATAGAAGTCCGACTCGAAGATGCAGCCGTCCAACGCCTGGGTTAGGTAGCACTGACCGCGCTCCACGGGGTTGTACGCACTCCACCCGGCAGCGCGCGTCGCACAAATGAGCAGCTCGTACTCGCCGCGCATGAACAGCACAGCGGACGTCATCTTCTTGGCGTAAAAGCGGGGGTTCTCGTCACCACCGCCGTCCACCATGTTGACCTTGATCTGGGCTTCGTCTTCCCTGTTCCGGGAACCTGCATACCATGATAAGAAGGAGAGCCAATGACATGCAATTAATCAAGGCTCTCTAGTCAGCCGAATTGATAAAAGCTGCCAACCCGGACAGTACCGACCCAACCTTGAAAGAGCCACTTTTATTCTGGGAGCGTGACTCTCGAAAGCAACGAGGTGTGCACAAAGTGTGCTGAAATCTAAGAGTATCTGCTCGAAACCTTCCGATGGACTGTAATGATACGTTGTCCCGTGCCTGGACAAGATTTGGATCATGCTCAGCATGCCGGATGTTTTCCGGACAACGAAGACACGAGGACCAGAAGACCTTCTCACCTGGTGCAGTTCGGGCATCGTCTCCATCAGATGGAGCATGTTGCGCGTGTGTTCGTATGCCGTGGATCTCTGAAACTTCATCCCCTTGACGTACACGACCATGAGGCCGTCGCGCGTGTGCTTCCGATCAGAAACATCCCACAGTAGCACCGGGCGCGGTTCCCCTGCGCAAGGACGCTACCTTTTGAGGCTCTGACACTGCTGTTCACAATCAGATACTGCACAGCTGCCATGCCCTCACAACGAGCAAAGCTTTCAATTCACGGCATGGAACGAAGCAAAACCTTCAAGCTCAGTGGTCTGACTTGAGAAGCAATTGCAGATTTGCACTGAGGACTGAGGTACATCAAAGCCCAGCTATTGAGCGAGCGTCTTGCTCAAGAACCAACCTGCAAATTGTCAGCAAAGACTGGACCAACCTGTGCAATATAGAAGTTACCTGCAGGAACGGGGTCCTTGATTGCATCCGTCCCTTCACCCATGAAAAGATGAGAGCTAAGGACCAGCTTGTACCCCGCAGCTGTTGGGGGATCGTGCATGTGAGCTTTCACTTGCTTGTCGTACGAGTCCAGGTTGAACTCGTCGCTGGGCCGTTGCTGGTAGAGGAGCTGGAGGAGGGTCTTCTTGGAGTAGATGAGGTCGAGGAGCAGGTTCGCCTTGTCGTCGCTGCATCCGACGATCTTGAAAGGGTCAGTACTTCAACCCATGATCTAATTTGCTGAAACTTCTTACCGGACATGTGGTTCACAGGCCCTCACCTGCCTATCTCGTTGGTGTACAACAGATCTGAATGTATCTAATCACAGCAGATTGTGGGCTGAACAAAGCCAGTAAGGACAGGAAGCGGAGAGACTCGAATGAGCATACTTGAGAAGACCCTACGGCAAACACGTTTTTGATCAATCCTGGTCGTTATGTCTTTCTTACAGGACTGTCCTAAGACCTTTCCTACACCGCTGAACAGTCATAGCAAATCAAGGATTGAAAGCACAAAGGCAGAAACGCATTACTGATCAAATAAAGTTTCCTTACGTGTTATCGGTGTCAACCCAGTACGAATTCAGGACCGCCCACGCCTCGAGCTCCTTTATAGCTTTGTTCATGATGTACCCGTTCGGTTGCTCATCCTCC